GCTGAAACGCAATTCATGTAATTGATATTTTAAAAAAATTGACAAGAATGCAAAATTTATGGAAGTCTAGCAATCGAAAAATCTTAATTTTCTTGTGTGAGCACTGAAAATAACTGTAGAAGGAAAGAAGAAAATTAGGAGAGAAAAGTAAGCAAAAATTTGCAGGGAAAATTTGGCTGTCAGACATACCAAGATGTTTCAAAAAGTTGGACGCTTTTGAATATACCTTTCAGGATACTTCAAAGAATTTAGGTGTTCAAAGAGAAAACACTTGGACGTGTACACCAGCAAATACCATCAATTGAGCTTGTGTTAACAGAAAAGACAAAAACGATATCATTGCAGATTAAAGTGAAGAGCGACTGGTTTTAAACTATATGGTTGTATAAATTTAAATTACGTTATAGAACATCATATCGTATCATAAATGGAGAATCCCATGATTTTCTCAGTCGAATTATTTGAAGATTCAGGAGTTTATCCAGTGATGTATGTGGATGTCACCTAAAGATGTTTTTTTTTTTTTTTTTTTTTCCTCCTGATGAAACAGCGGCCGAGCGGTAAAGTCGCTGAACACTGGTAGTTCGGTCCGAGGTTCGAATCCCGCGAACGGGCTGGCTGCATGGGCGTTTTCGTGGTTTTCCCCATGTGTAACGTGTATGCGAGCCAGTTCCCTTAGAAAGTCCTCCACGAAGGCATCCCTCCCTTTAGGCAGATAGCCCTAGTGTTGCTTTGTCATAATTAAATAAACCAAAACCTCTTGATGAAACCAGTCTTTCCTTTCATCTCATACCTTCAAAATGTTTAGCCTCTAAAGACTGATAAAGGCTCTGACCAAATACTTGATGAAATGGATTGAATTGGATTATTAAGTTACGTCAAAGCAGGGCTATTGCCTAAAAGGAAGGATGCCTTTGTGAAGAACTTTCTAAGGGAAACCAGTTGCATACATGGTACACATGAGAAAATCCACGAAAACGCCCATGCAACCAGCCCGTTTACCGGGATTCGAACCTACCGGTACCTACCTACCCACGGACTTACCGCTTGGCCGTTTGTGGGCCTTTATGAAATGGAAGGCGATAACTTTATTTAAAATGATTGTCAAAATACCAAGATATTTCGAAAAGTTGGATACTTTTTAATATACTTGCGGAATGCCTAAAGAAAAAGAGCAAGAATGAAGCTGAAGAAAAAGAGAAGGAAAAATAAATTTTTGCGTAAAATTTAGTATTTGTACTTTTTTAATTTAAAACTTTTTAATCTCATGATATTTGATTCTTGCGATTTCAAAAATAAAATATTTGACTAAAATATGAATAACATTTTAAGAAACCAAATGTAGGATAAAACTGTGTAAAGCAATGGGCACAATGATAAAACTGTTTAAAGCAGTGTATGCAAGTCATCCTAAGTTAAAATGTCGATCCTAAGTTAAATGTCTCTCTATTTATATATATATCTTTTCTGAACGGAACATTGAAAGGCGTGTTAACTGTGCTTTACTGTATTTTCTCTTTTAATATATGCAGTTTTCAAACGCATCGTAGTCTGGGTTACAAAGTATTCTTCCGAAAGAAACGCAATTCAAATAAATAAAATCAAATTCTGGAAAATTTATATTAATAAATATATTTAAAATGCTCAGTTCGAAGGAATAAATAGAAAATTTTAAAACAATTATCTGAAGAGACAATGCAACACAAACAATTAAAAAAAGTATAAAAATTTAAAAATTACCTAAAATAATAACTATGACAAAAAATATATAAAGAAACTATATATAAAAAGAAAACTATTTGAAAAAAAAAAATAAACGCTGCACCTTTATTTACGCAGTTCGAATAGGTAAATAGAAATTTTTAAAACAGTTATTCGAAAAAAAAACCATGCAACTTAAACAATTAAAATGGAATTTGGAAAAAAAAAATTACTTAAAATAATAAGTTATAATTAAAAATATAATATAAAGAATATTATTTGGAAAAAAGGAACGATGGTGACTTTTTTCCTCTCACGGGAAAAGGAAACTAGGTTGCCATATATTAAGAAGTTCGCCAAGTGAACTATTCTTGGCGCAAACTGACAAAAAAGTGCCAACATAAATTTGTGAATTTCTCCGTAAATTTCGCTCCAAATTTTACAAAATTTCATATTTAGGCGTAATTTGAGTCGTAGAATCGAAATATGTAAAAAAATTGGTATGTTATTTCAGAAAAAGTCCGATTTTGTGTCAAAATACCTATGTTAGAATAGTGCTATATATAAATCTAATATATATCCTAAGTCGCGCTTTCGAGACATGAAGAACGCAATTTGAATTTTGTCAATCGGCCCAGTAGATCGGGAGATATAGAACTGTCCCATTTTTTTTTTTTTAGCAGTGTACATATTTTGACCTTAAATGCAACAGTAATTACTACAATTACTCATTCATATATTATTAAACAGCCACTATCTAAAGGTTTATTTTAGAAGGTCACTTTTATCTAAAATTAATTGAATTAACTGCATTTTATATAACACGTCTTTTTCTGCATAAAAAATCGAATTCCACAAATAGGAAATTTGCTAATGCTCATGCAAAAGTTCTTTAAATATATGAAAAATTATCATCAAAATTAAACCTGTCGAAAAGTGGTCATGCATGTTAAAAAAAAAACAAATGTGAAGCCATTAAAATGCATAGAAGTATTCCATAAAAATCAGCTACATACTAGCAAGCTTCTTTTCTATATAAATAATTTTTAAAAATTTTTTTAAACAAATGGTTTACTCATTTTCAATTCAGAACTCACTATTTTTTTTTTAATTAGATGAAACAGCAACCTTATACTAATAGGAGTATCGCCTTTGCTAGTCTCGTGTTAGCCGAATCTGAAAACAAGGATAATGCTCACAATGCAGAACAAAAATTAGGTTTATATAAATGATGAATGAAATGAAATGAAAAATAAATGCAAGCTTCTTTTGTACCCCCGCCCAAAAAAAATGTAGTAGTAGATTACAAAAAAAAAAAAAAAAAAAAAAAAAAAAAAAAAAGGATGCAATCGTACAATCATCAAAGGTAGGAAAAAGCAAGGCCCGAACCCGCAATACAAGTCCCTAGTAAGAGCTCTCCTTTCTACTGAGTGTGTTACCTCTGCGCTAACGTATCTTGCGGGTAAGTGTGGTTTTCACACTTCACTTTCAGGAAACGGAAGAAGCATTTGGGCTACTCCTGAAATTGGCGATAATATTTTCTGTAAATATTTTTTCGAAAATACCAACTAAATTATAACATCACTCTTGGTGATGCTCGAATCCAAAATCTTTAACTTAAGAGGCTAACGTTTTATCCACTCAGCAACAATAGCAAACTTAAATTGATGCAGATATATTTTAAGAAAAATTCAAAATCTGGGATTTTGAAATCCATCACTATTTTCTCGCAACAATCTATTGCTTTAGATTATTTTGTAAAAATTATGAACCATATATAATTTATGGTTGATTATTAAGGTTTATTACTGCTAATAAACTTGAGAATTTTCCTTTATGTAATTTATAAAGTCATTTATTCTATTAGCATATGTGTTTTTTTTTTATTACTATCTGAAATTTTTATTAAGATTAGTCCATTTGACTTTTTTTTCATCAAGAAGAATTTTTGAAAGCGCAATCATTTAAAAACCATGGTATAAACTGGATGTTTGAAATGAGATGCCTGAAACTGACGCATCAAGCATCAAAAAGTTGAAGTTACGTTAACTTACGCGGTCTCCGGCCATCCGGCAAATGTCGCCTCTGAAAGTGAACGCAACTTAAGGCATCTTTCCTCTTATGCAGATAGCCCTCATAACTTTGCGATATTCAAATAACCTAACTTTTACTAGTAAGTACACTCCACACAATATTTTATTCTTCATTTTTTTTAATCAACTGAAACAAGCTCTATTTTACTATATTATATTCCTCCATTTGTTTGGTAGCCATATAATACCATCATTTCAGAATTTTATGGTTTGTTAGCAAAATGCCATCCTAATTAAACTTTTACACTGAAACAAAGTTTTTAATGAAAGAAATATATAATAATCACATGAGGCATCTTAAGGGTATGAAAGATGAGATAGAAGTTCCAGTCAAATGTTAACTACCTTCACACTGAACTACTGACTTATGTTAGGTCATGCAGAATGATAAGTCAATATTTTGGTAAATGAGTCCAGATCTATAAAATGGATACAAATGGCATTTACAGAACAATTATTATCAAAAATCAAATTTAGAAAAACACAATTGTTCTTCTGGGTCTGTACTTAACCTCTGGATAATCCGTGGATATCATACAGTCCACGGTTTTAGAAAATAAATATTTGAAATGACATCTATTGAGACATTTAGAAAATAAACGTTTCTTTGACTACAGCAATGTGAGGTTGATTCTGTTTTATTTCACAGCTTAACTGACTATTCCAAAATCTCAGCTTCAACATTACTCAATATTTCTGGAATGAGCTGCTGCATTAATATCATGTCATCCATATACTATGTGTCATGTTATAAAATGAGTAGAAGTAAATTTGTCTCTATTTAGAAGAACATAGAAAATAGTCAGCCTTGAAGTATAATAATTCATAAAATGAAATAAATTTTTTACATTAAAATCTTGCTGTAACCTTAGGAAATTTCAATAAAGGTGCTCAGTTACTTTTGACTACACAAGGTAAATACTTTTCTAAGACAAACAAAATAATTTATAAGTTCAAAAAATGAAAACAACAATTAAAATAAAGAAAAAATACTTCATATTGAACAAGATATCAGAATACACACACACAAAAAAAGAGTGAATAAAAAATTAATTTATGAAAAAATAACAACAATTTTTAATCTGTTTACAAACAGTTAACTAAGCAACAGATATTTTTAAAAATGGCTTACAGAATCAAAAGAAATCTTTGAATCTTCCATATTAAAGATAATAATGCATATACAATTCTAAGTAATTTACCAACCTGAAAATAGAAATCCATGATATCTTTCAAATTTGCTTTTTCAGGGTAACATTTATTTTCCTTCATATAAAATCCTATTGAATAATTTCTGTCAGCAGCTTCTCTCTCGGATAAAAAGCTAAAGGAAAGAAAAAAATATCATATAGAAACTGTTATAAACTAAAACTCTGCACAATAAATTTTGTTTCATTTTATTAGTATTATTTCAAAACACTACCATTACATGAATGCAAAAGATTTGTTCCAAATGCTATAATAAGCTATGTTTCTATAACTTTGAAAAAGATTTCCCATAGTAATAAGCAATACTGTTAAAAATTTATACATTACAAAATAATGTATGTTTCTTATTTTTTACAAGTTGCACATCAGATTTAGATAGATGCTTAAAAAAACAGATCTTGTAATTAACATTAAAACAAACTATGCACATGATATAAATTTTTGTAATGCATGTACATCACTTCTCATTCCAAGAACACTTAAAATCAGTTTTATCTTTTTCAGACCTTTTAACCTGCACTGTTATTCCTAATGCAATCATGATGCAACATAAACTGCTATTTATTAATTTTTTAACAGATTTCTTTAAGATTAGAAATAGAATCCTCTAAATATATATTCTGTACATTTGCTTTAGAAATCTTGAAAATTAAATGAAAGATATGCATTTAAACTCATACACATTCATTCACGGAACAAAAATATATTTATGCTAGTGAAATTGTCATACACCAAAATTAACTTGGAGTTTGAAATTAACCTGTTTACCCAATTATTAGTTATTAACAGAGAATGAGTCTCTCAAAACCGGAATAACGGGGATTTTAAAATGGGTAACAATCTCAGAAATAATATTTTTACACAGAAAGAGAAAGATAATCATACGTAGCATTGTTGAAACCAAGATATTCTCCTCCAGCCATAGCTTTATAGTATTGACATATCTAAGGAGAAAAGTTTTATTTATTATTATTATTCTGAAAAAGAGATTTGAAATTTAATAGAGAAAATATATGAAGTTAAATATGAAACAAAATTTACATTATACTGAATTATTAAATTTTATTTAATCTATAAAGTAATTATTTATTTTGTTGCTCATAATAAATATCAAGATATGTATAAAAAGTGATATATTTCACTGTTTGATTGGCTTATGTACAATCACAAGTTTGCTTTTTGAAAATATACTAATAATACAAAAATTAATTAAGATGGTGGTGTGTATTTTATTACATTTTTAAAGTTATACATGATGTTTTAAAAAATATTTTAGATGTTCTTCTTTCACGACAGCATGAAACTTCAGAACTAGTTTTCTAACTAAGTACGTAAAAAAATGTACAGGATTAGGGTTCAAGAGACAAGGCTGCAATACAATTAACTCCCAACAATTTATTTTATTATGATATACATCTCTGTCATACCTATTTCATTATTCTGTCAAATATGACTCTAACTGGTGGTGGGCAACACCCCACTGAAACTTATTTCTCCATTTAGCACTGCCCTACAATGATGCCACAGTTTGGGTATGGCATCTGGTTTCGGAGGTCAAAAAATTAAAACTGTGATTCACAGTGAAATGTTCAGCATTTCTTAATTCCTCTTTCTTATATCCTTTCCAGCAACCTGAAAATATTATGCTCCACGATGTTTTCCTGAATGGCAGTCATCAATGTTGTAGCACAACGATCGGAAACGGCGACCAGACAATATTCTTTGCTTCACCTGGCATAAACCTTCGAATACCCCGTGTTACAAAAGAACATACCCATTTCCCCCCCCCCCCCGTGTGTGTGTTTTTGTGTGTGAAAATACTTTCGTCTGTTTCTACGATTTTGTTGCCTCCACCAATTTTATTTCTTTTACAAGACATAAAACTATTTGCACATAACTCCCTCAAGTAGTTATTCCAATCTACTGTCCTATTATGGCCGATTCCTAACTGAAGTTGTTAAAATTCAATCAACATCAATTCCTGACGCCACAGATAGATAAAACAAATTGCACTGAGGTAAGAAAGATGTGAGCCTTCAAACCATGTTTTGGCTCTTAATTCATTTTTTTTTTTTCACAGCAAGAACGTATGTAAAAATGCCATATACAAGCTTTGTTTGTGTCAAAAGTTTTTGAGAACAAAGTTAATTGCTAAAAATTATTCCTTCGTCCTGAAGGAATCTTTTGCCAGCCTCTTCGTCATTAGATAATTTCTGAATTGTGTACTCCATCGAGCTAAAAAAATGGTGAAATATGGAAAAAAAAAACAAAAAAACTTTAAATCTCAAACTACGATATTTGGCGTGTTGTTGTAGCAGTGTTTTCTTCATTTTTAACTGATGCCGCTCTAACGGAATAGTACCCAGAAAGTAAATTAGTTACTGCACTTATCAAAAGAAAACATGGAGTAGATAAAGAGGAATGGAAAACATTAAGAGGACGACAGCAACAGAAACAAATACAATTCTATAAATTATATTAGATCCTTCATGTGCACATTAAGAATTGTATTCAAAATTATAACAAATGTTCACTGGAGAACTGCGACCTAAAAAATCTAAATAATAGTTAAATCCTGATTATAACTAAAAACATAATATAGGGTGGGTAACAATAAAAAATAAAAAAAGAAACAAGGTTAATTTTCATTTATACATATTCCCACAAATATTTAATATTTTATGAATATAGCTATCGCATAAGAATATTCTTGTTAGAACATAACTTGTTGCATCTTTAAAAATTCTTCAGTTTCTAGTCTCCCTAAAGTTTAAATTTCTTTTAAATTATCTGTAAAAAAAAAAAAAAAAAAAAAAAAAAAAAAATTATTATTTAATGATTTTGTTTAAAAAATTTACTTGAAAAAATTTTAGTGGAATTTTTTAGCAACTGATTTTCTACTCAGAAATTTGTCTAAAATTATTATATTATGTTCATAAAACTATTATATGAGTAATCCAACTAAACTACAGCCTCATTGTTTTGAATTTAATCATTTCATAGCTCAAAACAGAAACAAAACATGGCAATGTGAAATATAAAATTAGTAAAGCAACAACTTTATGCTTGGCGCAGATTCAGTCAAGATCTCAACTGATTTTGAGGGCAAACAGGTACAGGTACCTCTTCATCAGGAACAAAGAAATCTGCAAGACTGGAAAGCAGTGGGCACAACAGTCATATTGCAGGGGTGCAATCGCTGCTTTCTGGTCTTGCAGATATCTTTCCTCATGGTCAAGAGGGACCTATTATAGTAATAAGTATCAGTCATTGTTTTTTTTTATTACTTTCTAACTTCATCTACACAGTAGATGATGTATTTTAATTCTTCTATAAATTGGAAAATATTTCTTTGGGAATTTAATAAATGTTCCTTTCGATTTAAATTACTAATTATAATCTCCTATTTCAAGCTTTAATTAAATCAGAATACCATGTTTTTCAAAATAATATTTATTGCAAAATGGGAAGATAGTTTTTGGAAGTTCATATTTAGCCCTGTTCTCAGTGATACTTACTTAACTTCTTTAAACAGAATTTTTAATTTTCCTTCTTTCTCTGTTTCAGATTTAAAAAAAAAATCTGATGTGTACACCACACGACTTCCTTGTACGGAATATTAAATTATACGCATTTTTTCTTGCATTTCATTTAAAATTATTGGATTGAATTAAATCTACTTTGCCGACAGCGCATAAACTACAATAGAATAAATGCATTCTTTAAAATTCACTCTAGTATTTGTTTACCATAGCGACACTCTGGCGCTAGATTTACTTAACAGTATTAATAATTATATAACAGTTAACTTATATAATAATTATATAACAGAAACTAAGTTAATTGTTATATAATCCAATAATTATATAACAGTTAACCCCTTAACTGCCGCGGGCGTATATATACGCCTTGCTCAGCCGATGCGTTAACTGCCCCAGATGCGCAGCCGATGCGTTAACTTTGCGAATAATTTTAGGTGTAGCAGCGCAAAGCAAATGATAGCAGTTTGGAAGGATGTATATATACGCCTGGGGCAGTTAACGCATCGGCTGAGCAAGGCGTATATATACGCCCGCGGCAGTTAAGGGGTTAACTTATATATTTCGTTCATATTATAACTCATAATGCACAAAATTTATATCATTTAAAGAATAGAATTATCTAATCATTACCACATGTTCTATTCAAATCCTGTAATAAAGCTAGAATGATGTATAAAAGAAATTAAGCAAACAAAACAAAAAAGAAGCAGTTTTTCACAGACGATTGAGTATTTCTCTTTAATTAATTCAGTTCTCACTTCGCGAGAAGGCAAAAATACATAAAAACTCAAAATATATATATTAAAAATTACGAAGTAAATCTTGAACACTTATTTCCTCGAAAAAATTCCAGAAAGGATTAAGCATGATTTAATTTGCAATAATAAATAAAGGCGTTATCTTTGTTGTTGCGAAGCTTAGTCTCTCTAGATTGGCAACAAATCTACTATTCTGTTGTTTCAATTATAAACAGATATGTCCGCCATGTTATTTAAAAATTAGGCTTAACAAACTTAAACATCTTTTAAATTGTTGATAATTCTACAAATATTGTTTGCAGATTCCTAAAGGCATAAAAACCTTAACCGGAAGATAAAAACAACATAATACAATCATTTTTAAAGCAAAAAATGTGCAATTTACAAACATATAATAGTAAAGAAATTGAGATCACTGAGCCAGGTAACAGAGTGGATATATATATATAAATATATTTATATACGTTTGGTGCGGCTGATTGCAACCAAAATACGAGGTGCACATCTACATGTTATAGCAGTCCTATATACAAAATTTCAATGTTCTGAGGCTACACGTTTTTGAGTTATGCGAGATACGTACGTACATACATTTGTACAGACGCCACGAAAAATTCTCTTCAGAATTAATTTTAAAGCAGTTTTATAATTTTTTTTAAGGAAAAGAGTATTTTATTCTGTCCTTACGTACAGATATCATGCAAAAACACCGTTATATTGCATTCGATAGTGGTCAAAATGGATATTTTCGTTGAAATATGCTGCCTGAAACTTTTCACGATTACAATACTTCCTCTTTACTTCGTACAAGGAAGTAAAAAGAAAGAAAGAAAAGAAGAAGAAAGAAAGAAATCTTAATTTTTTTACGTTTTTATGTATACAGTCAAAAGTATTTAATGGGGACGTCTATAATCCGGAATGATCTATAATCCGGACCTCAAAGCAACAAACTTTCTGCGCATGCGTCAATGCATGTGCATACTACGTTTATGCATGCGCATATGCATTTACGTGTGCCCTTAATACGTTTACGCAAGCGCATTTAATGTATAACGGATGGTATAAGCTAAGCTAAAATGATCTAATTACCTATTTCAGTTAATGTTGCAGATTGTGTTGTTCCTTAATCTTCTAATTGGATCCAGCTTATTATTTTTTGCAGATTCTGTTAGAGCAATTTTATAAAAATTAAGCTTAGAACTTTCGATTATGTCAAAAAGAATTTCTGATTCTGGAGCTACCAAAGGATCTACAAAGCGAAAGCAAGTTTCGATGTCCATCAAACAAAACATGGAATTGCTGCAAAAAATGGATAAAGGCATATCCTTTGATTCTCTAACCATTCCGAAATATGTTTATCAATTTCACACTGCTCTGCCACTGGGGGGGGGACGTTGCGGCCCGCTATGAACTGGAAGTTGATCTATCAGCACTATCCTTATCTTCAGGGCAGATGTTTTTATTTTATTCGGCTTATAATTCCTTACTAAATGTAGTATTTCATCTCGATGTACTCCGTCTTTGATATGATTTAAATCAAATTCCTCGTCATTATAAATATCACGAATACAAATCAAATAGTTTTCTGGTTGCAATTTTCTAATTTTGACTATGCGTAATGCATGCTTTACGCATGCGTGCGTTTGAAGAAATGTTTAATAAAGTAAACAAACAAATATTAAGCTTTTTTTTTTTTTTTTGTAAATTTTGATACCCTTTAGGTCATAATTGCTCTTTATTTCAGAAATTACGGTTTCATATTTTTAATTTTATTATTTCTGCATGCCATCTTACCAAATTTAAACCGATGATCTATAATCCGGAATCGCTGAAGTCTTGACGAGTCCAGATTAAAGACTTTTGACTGTACTTATTTTACGTTTTTATGTTACGTTACGTTTATGCTCGATTTTTGTAGCCCACCTTACTATGAACTTAATTACTCAAAAAATTGTTACACAAGACACTGATTTATTCTTATTAGTAATAATTATATTAGAATAATTAGTTGCATTAGAAAACTCTCATCGTCATAGACAATATTTTTCCACTAATAGTAAAAATAATATTTTTATGTTAGCTCTTCTTTATCATAATTACAAAACCATATAATTCTATGCAAGTCAACTTAAACTTTCACTCAAGCAATCTTGCTTAATTATTAAAAAGAAAAAAGAAAACTTCTTCAGTTAGCAAACCAGAATTTCCAGAGAAATTCCATTTTCCTCAATTTCTATAAATTATTTTAATTCCAACTCCCCCCCTATAAAAGTATTTAAAAGTTTCAGTTCATAACTTCTTATTTTGCTCCTTTTCCTTTTTAATTTTATGATTTTCAAAAGACACTACTATGAACCTAAACTGTTTTGCATTTAAAGAAATATTTAAAAAAAAAAAGTTAAAATTATTTCACAATGTTGCTACTTGAAGAAACAGATCTTCATCATAAATTTTCAAAACAACAACCTTGTGCTTGGCATACATTTTAATCAAGACTCTACTCATTTCGACAGCACATAGGTACAGGTCCTCTTCATCAGAAGCAAAGAAATTCGGCACGAAGGTTAAGCCACAGTTGTACTTATATCCAAGAGGAGTAAAGTAATTGAGATTTCTTGTAGTAGAAGTAGTGTAATTTCTTGGAAGAAATAGTAATGAAAATTGAAATATTAAGTAAAAAGAATTTTAATAAATAGAATTAACAGAATTAACTCCTGTTGGGTATATATATATATAAAACCAAGGCTTCCCATTCATTTGCTCCTGATGAACAGGGATCTATAACTGTTCACTCTCAAAATCGAGAGAGTCTTGAATAAAATCTATGCCAAACACAAGTTTTTTTTTTTTTTTTTTTTTTTTTTTGCTTTGTTAAATTCATACTTTACACTGCCGTGTTTCTCTTCCATTTAGATCTTCATCAGTTGGTCTCAAAATATAGACTAATTTTAAATAGACTTAATTTTGTTATAGTAAATTACTTTTACTTCCTTGTACAAAGTAAAGAAAATTTTGTAATTGCAGAAAATTTTTGGTTTCATATTTCAACAGAAATTTATTTTGACCATACCATGAAATTTTTTTTTTTTTTTTTTTTTTTTTTTTTGCATGATATCTGTACAAATGGGTAAAATGAAGGATTCTTCCAAAACAGATTATGGATAATAAAATGGATTCAAAATGTTTTTTTTTTTTTTTTTTTTTTTTTTTTTTTTTTTTGTGACTTCTGTACATACACATGTACTTCACATAACTCAAAATGAATAGCCATAGAACACTGAAATTTTGTACACGAGACTGCTATAACATCTAGTTGCACACCTCTCTTTTTCACTGCAATCTGCAGTACCAAAATTATATATTTATATATATATATATATATATAGTATATAACTATATAGTAGATATATAAAATATATAACCCCCCTTTCCTAGTTTAAAAGTCCTTACCTGATCCTAATCGCTGGTCATAAACATATACTTTCAATTACAGAAGTGTTTTAAATTTAAATGTTTTGGCAATTTCAAATTTAAAAAAATAATAATTTGGTTAAATAACAAAATCCAACTTTAAGGAAGTCTTCCGGTTCCTATACTTAGTATATTTGGGTTTTTTACTCATTATGAAAAATAAAAATACAAAAAGTTTGCCTCCCATACAACAAAATTTGACCCAGTTATTTAGTTTCAAAATTTGGAATTTTCGATGTCATTTTCAAAATGCCTCGAGGGATTGGTTAATTACGATGGAATAATTCGAGGAAATAAATTACTGTACCCTTAACATGACTGAATTACAAACACTTTTTATAGTCAAAAGTCATTGATTTTAAAATTTACAGTAAGCTTAATAAAAATAAAAACCAGTCAACAAAAATAAATTCATAAATAAATAAAATTCAAAGAAATTAATGCAATTATGAATAAGTTATTTGTTTAAGCAAGCAATTAAAAAAATCTGTTAAGATTAATTTCACATTTTCAGTTTTAAAAGAAGCTACACTTTCAGTAATATCTCAGAAAAGAATATACATAATATAAACAAATTACAAAGAAGAAAATTTTGTTTCACTTGGCAGCAGAAATATCAACTTCATCAAACCATTTTGCTAAAAAAGATTTGACTAACTTTTGTAAACATTCAAGATATCCTCCAAAACATTTTTGTCCAATATTTATTTGGTTTTTGATGGTAAGACATCTTGGATTTTTATTTCTCTTATTTAAAGAGGAGAACTTGAACTTAACAAATCTATTTTAGTTTACTGAATTCTGAACGCTGGTTATTTTTCCAAATATTCTTATTTTAGTGCTAGAAAATTGCACTTAATTGCTGAATAGCTGAAACTTTAGAGATAAAATATTTTTAGATACAAATAATATATAAGCCCTAAATATATTTACTTACCCAATCAAATTTTTCTGATACCCGCATATCAGGCTAAAAATGAAAAATAATTTTTCATATTGCATGTGAATATGAATAAAACTTGAACATTAGATGTAAATGAAACAAAAAATAATACATGTATAAAAAAAGCACGACTTTTTTTAAAAAATCAAATACTGAATAACATCAGTTATTACAGAAGCACTTATTGGCTCAGTAATAATTGATTAATAAATCCACATTTCTTAATGAAAATTTAAGAAATTTAATTGATGAAACTTAGTTTGGAGGATTTTTCTTGAGATGCTAATGTCTGGAAATTAATTTTGGAGTCAATGAACATAAATATTATATTTTACAGAAGTTCTAGTTTTGTCTCTTATATGTAAAAGGACGTACAGTGTGACATACATAAAGTGTTTAAAGCTGTGTGAAAGAGTAGTTGTTTTCTACTTTTATGAAAGAAATACAGTACACATGGACAGAGAAGAGATTATTTTATATATCTTTTTAATAAAATGCCAAAGGACAAAAAATTCAGTTTACATCCTCCCCCTCCCAAGAAAAAGTACTGACTCATCTAACACTGTAAAATTCCAATTGCATAACATAATGAAATAATAATAATGCATACCTCAACTATGTACAAAAGTAGAGAACATATAACTATAGCACCAGCATTCACCATAGGATTATGTGGTTTCTCTATAGAGAAAGAATACAAAAATAATATTAATTTAATAGTGCAACAAAAAATACATTTTCTGCGCTGAAAGAAATTTTTCAAACCTTTTAACAAAAACTGCAATGCATTCTTAATAAAAATGATTTATTTTTCAAAACTTATAAGAAGATATTAATAAATTAGATTGCATAACACAAAACCATATTTTGCATATGATAAAAAAAAAGAATGTTATCAATTCACCCAAAAATTAATGTATTCTTTCAGAGCACATACTACGAAACTAGCGTACCTTAATTTTCTATGACACTTTTTCAAAAATATGCTAATTCAGTATGAGGAGATACAGTTGCAGTTTTATTTTATTATTCGCTTATGTATGTATCCTTAGTGTATGACGATATGGTTCTTATATTTATATTCAGTTTCACTAAATACACAAATATTACAAAAGTAATGAAAAAAATTGACTTAACTTTTTATTAATATGCACACATTGCTATGAATCCATATGTTGCTGGAGTATTTCTTCCTCTGCATAAATATACTAAATAAAATTTCCAGTATTATCAAAGCTTATGCAACATTATGGGCCCTTGGGCAAACAAACACACTAGGGCCTCCTCTGACAATCACTAACCTAATAATGGCAAGCCAAATGATATACGCAGATCAGTATGGGGGCACTTATGCTTGTGAAACCCCACAGGCCGACACACCCAAGCGGCCTTGGATCTGGATCTTGCAACGAATGAGATGTAAGATCAGGTCTGTACAATGGATGAAACTAGTGTACAGACCAGTTTGTTAATACAGTCACAAAAGTATTTAATCCGGACTCGTCAGAACTTCGGCGATTCCGGATTATCGGTTTTTCCAGATTATAGATCATCAGTTTAAATCTGGTAAGATGGGATGCAGAAATTACAAAATTAAAAATATGAAACCGTAATTTATGAAATAAAATAACTCTAAAGGGCATCAAAATTTACAAAAGAAACTTAATATTTATTTGTTTACTTTATTAAAAATTTCTTTTAAAGTGCGCATGCATAAAGCATACATTACGCATAGTCGAAATTAGAAAATTGCAACCAGAAAACTATTTGATGTGTATTTGTGATATTTATAATGACGAGAAATTTGATTTAAATCATATCAAAGACGGAGTACATTGAGATGAAATACTACATTTAGTAAGGAATTATAAAGCTGAATAAAATAAAAACATCTGCCCTGAAGATAAGGATAGTGCTGACAGATCAACTTCCAGTTCATTGCGCGTCGCGACCTTTTAAAAGATTATAAAATAAGAAGATTATAAGATTTTGTTATAAAAGATAGCAATGGCAACTATGATTGTACAGGGTGTTTCCACATTTTTAGCTCAATAAAGAATTTTTAAAAAAGCAAATATTTTGAAATAAAAAATTTCTGGCAACAGCTTATTATTTGAAATGAGAAATATCATCTGCTATTTTTTTATTTATTCTTCCTTTAAAATGTCGCATGTAAACAAGCTGTGGATTAAAGGATATGTTTCTGTGCGTTTCAAAGAGAAATATTCCTAGTCCATAATTTGAAAACATCGTGAAACGCACAATATTAAAATTTCAGAGTGCAAAATAAGCAATGTTATTAATCAGAAAGAGAAAAACTATCAGTCATTATTTTCACACAGAAAGAAGACTCCAAACAAATACCTGAAAAAGGTACGTACTGTGTGTAATCATTCTAAAGTTAAATCATTGGTAGCAAGAGAAAATTCGTTGATGCAGAAACCAGCTGATAAGTCTTCAAATACATCTGTAGCAATAACACATAAAATAATGAATCAAGATTTATAATTAATAAAAGCTAAAAAACATAATATTCACCAGCTTTTGCCAAGGAATGTGGCTCAATGCATAACAATTTGGAGAATTCTGCGTGAAAACTTTTATCAGGAGATAAACGAAAATCCCCTGATATTTCACCTATGGACTATTGCACCTTTGATGTCTTGAAAAGATCTCTTTCTAACCACAAACCTACCACTGATGGTTTCTGGAACATAGTGGTAGAGGAATGGATAATAATATCCATGGAAATTTTATTAAAAGTCCTTCTGTCACAGAAATCATGATGCAGACTTACAGTCCAGACAAAAAAAAAAAAAAAAAAAAAAAGAGAGAGAGAGAGAGAGAGAGAGAAAGAAAGAGGCTGTCAAGTCGAACACTTTCTTTCTGTCTTTGATTTCTAATATAGTCAAATCTGCTCTTAAAATTATAGGACAGCTATGTATGAATAACTATAACTCAGTTAAAAATTAATTATAAATATAATTTAACTATAGCAACACGACTCTTTATCTGATTATTATTATTTTATAAGCATGCATGCACAAGTTTTCTAATCTAAGATTCCATGTTTTGAAATAATGCAAAGTATTTTGAAGCATTTTACAGAAAAGATATCAATGATTTAGAATGCATTAATGACTTTTATATATATATATAAAAGTACCTCGGTATATGTCATTAATGCATTCTAAATCATTGGATATATACAAAATTACTCATCCAATGAGAAATAAAGGAAAATTAATTAATCCAGTCTTAGGCAAAAATCCTACTGTTACTATTATACCACTATTTAATACTAAAATATTAATGCAGTGAGAGAAATATATTGCATAAATGTTTTTCTGCTGTCCAGATCAAAAACAATTTTTCAGCATGTTCTAACATCTCTGATCTTTGTTTGTTAATTGGTTTTGCTACCCTTCACAATGTTAGTTAATTTAACAGCTTTATTTTTCAAAATCATACACACCATCATATTCAACAACAAATCTCAGATATGCATGCCATCTTCATAGTTTTCTACAATCTCTTTTTTCACCTCCATGGAAATTCTAACAATTTGCCTTGTTGTTCGACTTTTCTCATTAACTTTCCTAAAATTCATTGATAATGCTTATGGGCAGTTTAGCATTTTCTTGAAAAAAGTAAACAAGTGTGCTGTGTTCAGTCATGACTCATCAAACTCAAATCATATTACAACAAACATAAAAAAATTGCTGGATTGTTTGAATGTGTCTATTATAGAATAAGTGATATCTTTAATTACTAAAAAATAATTCTGCATAATAACTACCAAAGAATTCATACTTAAAATACAAGAATGCAGAAATAAATCTACTTACTATTATAATCTAAAACAAGCTCGTTGAACATTCTTCCACTTGGTTCCTGCCCAACATACTGATGAACAATATCTGAACCCAGCTCTGTTAAAGCAATGGCATAATTCATGGGTTTACCAGATGACTGAATAGTAAAAGGAATTTCAGTATCACCTATAGAACACCTAGGATTAAAAAAAAAATAGTTGATAAAATAAAAACATAATAATCTAGTGAATACTTATATATATGAAAGCAATATATGAGACAATTTGGCAGATTATTTGCACCCCCACAGAAACGTTAGAAAGAAATAATCACTACAGAAAGCAGTCATGATGTCATCAAAAAGTATTTACATGACAACCCACCTATGCACATAGCATATGCTTGTTTTGACCATTGCTCAATGCTATGTTTATGCAATTCCTGACTTTTTTTTAAACAGGAAACAGATTATTGTGTTCATTAAACAAGAGTGCAAAAGAGAAGAATTTTTCGAATAAGATATATGCTTTATTAACAATATTTCTTGCATTTTCAATTTTATTAATTGATTTTGTATGGAATTTTTAGCATGCTACAATTCTGAAAATGGCTGTTGCCCTCCGCACGTTAGCTCGACAAAAAATTAATTGCCAACAAATTCATGACTTTTTAGTGGAGATGCAGAAAAACACAACATACTCTTTTAAATTATAATTCTTTGTGTAAAAGTAAATATATATACTGCATTACATGAAGCATAATTTGATTGCACATTGAAAGATACAAGTACTACCAGAATGAAATTACACAATGCAAGCAATCACATAATTATTAGTTCAAAGGAGCAATTCTGCCATTTTACATCCATACCTTTTCTTTTAGCATTTATTGCTTACTTTTTAGCATGAGTTTACTGTAGATTATGAAAATTCAAATTCAACTCAGATTAATAAGAAAAATTATCCTGAAAATTATTAGGTATGAGAGAATGGATATCTTTTATAACACTTAGTAAAAATTAAAAATGGAGAACTTCAAAGATCTATTGGGAAACCAAGAAATGTAATGAAAACCACATTTCCCAGAAAAGTTGCCAGCTACAACTAAGTCATTTTGGATATTTATCTCATAAAAGGGCACTTTTTTGTTAACAGGGCACCAGTCACAAATGTGCGCCAAAGCACTAAATGCAGTACCCTATTTACAGCATGTCGTGAACAGCTGTACAATGATAGCATACATAATATTTAATGTGCACAATTCTGAAGCTGTGCACAATGTTCACTTATCAATATCTCTGGCAGTCTGTTTCCACATAAAAAACACATAAGAGAACTGTACAAATTCAGCATTGCAAATATCCATGGCATTGAACACATTAAACATTATATATATTAAATTTATTTATATAATAGCTATTCTTTTTAAAACTATATATTTTGCTGCTATCTAGTTAGATTTCATGCCAACATTTATGTTGGTACAAAATACCTAAAAAAGTGTGTTAAGCATAAAACTTACTGCACACTACTCATTATTAATACATGAGATAAAATACATATAATTTCAGAGTTTTTGATTTAAAAATTTACTAAGATATTTAAAATCTTACACATACCTCTGGCCATCAACTGTGCATATACTAACTCCCCAATAATCTGGATTGTACTTGGCTAGTTGAGGAATGTATGAAGCCACCTGATGAATACAAAAAATTACTTACGTTGTTCTTTAAGAAAAAGAGGAATGCTATTTTTTTTTACTTTAACAGATACTATCTCTATAACATAATGAAACCTATTTGCACAATTTAGTTTTGCAGTTAAAAAAGTTAATCAGACTGCTTGAGTGTGACAACAGTATCATATAAGTCTTCATTTTTGACATGAATGGCATCATTAACTTTTCAATAAGACCCATAAACTGAATGAAATAAATTAGATTTTGATGTCAAACAACAAAAACATTATAAATGACAAATAACAAAGATAACTTCAAAATGCTTCAACTCAGCAAAAACAAAGTTTCATTTTATATCTAAACTAACAATGATATACTTTTAAAATATTGTCAGTTTATTGAATTAAGAAATTAGACTGCACAATTCCTTCAAACTGGTTTGATGCAGCATGAAGAGACTTGAGTAAAACATAAACTCACTCACTTTTCCTCCTGTATTAACTTTGCATTTCCAATAAAAATCTTCAATGCATTTAACAAAATCTGGAAAATCTTGAATTACAAAATGATTTCGGAAAGCTCTGCTTATGAGGACAATGTTTTCTTTTATTACTCTGTACAGGAAATTGGAAAAGAAAAATAGATAAATTATTTTTATTTAATGCTTTGCACAAAAAGACAAATGCACAAAAACAGTTTGCAAAATGATATTTAAATCCTGAAATGTGATAAGAATTATCCAGTTACAATCCAGCAGTTCAAAAATTTAAAAAAAGGGGGGTACTTCTTTGTACAGCAGCACCCAAGATTGAATCACCAATCAATCAAGATATCTTACTATTAATCTGGCTGTGTTGTTATACCTTGCCACGTGATCATATATTAGCACCTGTTGCATGTTCTTATACCTCGCTACATAATCATATATTAGCACCATATTGCATTTTTGCTCTCACGTGTTCTTATATTATTCATTTTTGATGAAGTTTTCGAATTTGCATTGTTTATTTAAAAATGTATTCATTGCTTTTTGTGTGAATATGACATTAACAATTTTTAATTTAAATTCAAGAAAGAGGTCTTTTTCCTGACGAGTGAGTATGCGAGCATGGCCAAAATGTGAAACTTTATGTTAATCATGAAACCATTTGGAGGTGCAATGTTAAAAATTGCAAAAAGAAGGCCCTGTATTAGAAATTTGTTCAACGGTTTCAGAATATCACTTGTAACTGCTATTAGGTTTATATATTCTTGGGCAGAGGAGTTGACGTCCATGAAATGGTGCAACAAACAACTTAATATGTGTGAAAGTCTGCAGTTGGCTGGAACAATTATATGCAATAAAATAATAATAAAAAAATAAGAATAGGGATTCTTAAAAACATTCTTAGGAAACAACATCTGATTATTATTGCTATTATCACATATTTTAGACCAAAGGGATAATTTTCCCAGAAAGACTATTAATTTCGTGTTGGCATTTTGCGATGGTTCACTATAAATAGCATTTCACTTTTCAAATTGTTGCCATCAAATATTAAAGCTCTGCTTTATATTTAAAGAAATTAAATACAAAGAATCTGCATGAATGTATGCATATTTCTTGCACTGTGAAAAACAACGGTACCTAGAGACATCAAATTTTGTAAAACGTAGTCTTCCATTTGAATATAGGCATCTGGATGCCGAAATTTGGAATCTGGAATTTGTTTTATTATCTATTTCTTATTTTGTAAAACTTTAATGAATTTTTGATTAACAAACTAAATGATTTCAAAGCGAGCAATGACACTGTTTGGGGGAGAAAAAAATATCTTCAGCAAGCAAGACAGTGCACTGGAAATTCTAACCATATGCTCTTTTTAAATTACTTTATGATACTGCTGTTGAATTGAATTTTATGGTTTAATTGCAAAGAACATGATATTTAATAAATAACGGTAGCACACAAAAAGTTCAAACAATGCCCCTTTAGGCATAATATAAAATTTTCAGATAATTTTTTTGTCTTGTTTATTTTTACATTTTTGCTTCACAAGCTTGGCGAAATTTTAGTTGAGATCTCGGGGCAAATCTAAAATCACCAAATATGATAGGGGGCCGCTATAACAAAGAAGTACCAAAATTAATTTTCTAACAGGCTAATCTCAGACATCTTTTTAACAAGGTGACTTAGTTTCTAGAAGGAGCTTTTTTCTTCTATAAAGACATTAAAACTATTTTATGTTCCAACATGCACCTAATTACCTGAGACTGAATAGGAAACTTCAGTAATATTTAACAGCTAATAACCAATCATGCAAATTTGATTCACTTCATCTATGCACCAAAATTTTTTAATTAAAAAAGGAACTTGTGACAAATATGAAACAATAAAAGTATGTAATAGTTATGAAAATTCAGAAAAGATACACACTTTTTAAAACTTTCTCTGTCCAAACTTATTGCATCAGGAGATCCCATATCACGACGCTCCTTGTGTATAGCTCTTAGTTTTGTCATCATTTCTTTCAAACGAGGATCACTCTTCCTCAACCCGGTTTCAGAAAGAGCCTAGAAATTACAAATAAAAAATGTTTCACTTCAGTTTTGCATTTTTCAAGACTGCTGTTAAAAAGCAACTGTTGTATTCTTGAACAATTACTAATACAGTCAAAAGTCTTTAATCCGGACTCGTCGGTACTTCGGCGATTCTGAATTATCGATTTTTCCGGATTATAGATCATCAGTTTAAATCTGGTAAGATGGCATGCAGAAATTATAAAATTAAAAATATGAAACCTTAATTTATGAAATAAAGAACAATTATGATCTAAAGGGTATCAAAAAAAAAAAAAAAACTTAATATTTATTTGTTTATTTTATTAAACATTTCTTTCAATGTTAGTTGTTTAAGTTACTTCATTTTATATGATAATACTTTCTCTTTAATTCTATAAACAGACATAATTTCTTGTTCAGTTACAAAGTAACACTGTTCAAGGTCCTATATTTGCTGTGTCGAGAATACCGATTAATTTGCCAAACGAAATTTTTTTGTTTTCAATAACCTCTGTATCACTTTCTTCACTATCGGAAGTAAATTATAATGACGAGGAATTTGATTTAAATCATATCAAAGATGGAGTACATCAAGATGAAATACTACATTTAGTAAGGAATTATACACCAAATAAAATAAAAACATCTGCCCTGAAGATAAGGATAGTGCTGACAGATCAACTTCCAATTCATTGCGCACCGCGACGTTTCTCCACCCTGCAAAGCAGCGTGAAATTGATAAACAAATTTCGGAATGGTTAGAGAAACAAAGGATATGCCTTTTATCCATTTTTTGCAGCAATTCCACTTTTTGTTTGAAGGACATCAAAACATACTTTAGCTTTGTAAATCCTTTGGCAGCTTCAGCATCAGAAATTCTATTTCACATAATCGAAAGTTCAAGCTTACTTTTATAAAATTCCTCTAACAGTCTGCAAAAAATAATAAGCAGGATCCAATTCGAAGATTAAGCCAGATCCAATTCGAAGATTAAGGAACGACGCAATCTGCAACATTAACTGAAATAGATAATTTTAACTTAGCTTACACCGTCCATTATACATTAAATCTGCAGGCGTAAACGTATTATGTGCATGTGCACATGCATATGCGCATTGTAAAAGTATTATGTGCATGCATGAATGCATTATGCATTGACGCATGCGCAGAAAGTTTGTAGCTTTGAGGTCCAGATTATAGATCATTCTGGATTATGGGTGTCCGGATTAACGACTTTTTTGTACGACTTTTTTGTACTTGCTTATCATCCACATCCCCACCAAAAGTTCTGAAATTGTTGATGACTTTAGAGAGTATTTACAAATTAGCTGGCAACTTTTGAGAGAATTTATTTGGATGGCTTTACCTTTATTTCAAGGATGCATAAAGTGCTAACTATTTTTTTACAATTTTCTGGTTCCATACAAGACATACATATTTCTCTTTTTTGCAGAATTGCAATCTCTATGCAGATGGCAAACTGTTTCTGCTTAAAAAAAAAAAAAAAAAAAAAAAAAAAAAAAAAAAAAAAAAACTACATAGACCTGCATTAGTTTGGCATCAAAACCTGCTATCAGAAGAAAGAGCATGACATTTCTATGCAAGCTAAGTTTGAGATTTTGCCAAACACGCCAAAAAACTGCAGGATGCATCCCACCACTATCCTAAAGCACAGAAAATTCCCATAAGGGGGGATCATAATTTGCAGTCACATAAGCAAATATATCTGGAGAAGTCGAAAGCCATAGGGGGCATGCATATCTGGGTTGCCACATAAATACTTTTTGGTGACATTAGGGCATATCACATAAACACATGGCAACTCATCAATATTTTTAATGGATTTTTGTGGGAATGCAGATAATTAGACTGTACCAAAAGAATCATCATATTCGCACAATTTGGCAGATATCAGATGAGGAATAATAATGGTAAAATTCCTGCAAGATAAAAGCATCAATATTGAAAACCTTTTGCTCAGAAAACTACAAAATGAAATTATAATTTATTAGTACCAAAATACTGAAATGATATTGTGATGAAAAATTGTGCCATGAGAAGTAAGGCTTGCAGAGCAGATGCTAATTTGAAAGTTTATGCATTCCTCTTCCAATTCCTCTCCTCTGATGAAGTCTGTGAACTGCAAAAGAAGCAATTATCTAATGGAGTATTCATTTGTGTTTTTGATTGTAAATGCCTGTAGATATTATGTATTCTTTTCACGAATTGTTAATATTGAAATTCGTATTTCAGGTTAGATTTTACATCAACATTTCCATTTAGCAGCAAATCAAAATATACTATGCCATCTACATATTTTCTCCTCTAATATTGATAAAACAACAAACATTCAACAAACATCAACATTTCCATTTAGCAGCAAATCAAAATATACTATGCCATCTACATATTTTCTCCTCTAATATTGATAAAACAACAAACATTCAACAAACAGCACTAACAAGGAGAAAAATAGAAAGCACATTTTAGATTCCATTTCTAGTTAAAATCTAATTAAAATGAAACTTTCTTCAAAAGCCGGTGCTTCATTTTATAATATACTTTAAAATCAACTTTTGTGAGAAAACATATAATAATTTTAATAAGATATAAAGTTCATATGTTAAACTAACCAGTTATTGTGATTTTGATCTTTACTGTAATTTCATCTTTTTGGATTCTACACCAGAATGCAAATAAATATGTAGCATGTTTTAAGCTGAGGGCTTTTGAATCTTAGAAAATTTCTGACCCTCATGTAGCACTGTTAGAATTCTGCCGATTCTAGCTAAATGAAATTATCTCGCCTTTGCATTCTCTCGCAGCCAATATTTTACACTTCTATGCCAGTAAATTATTTGAGCAAGCTTGCAGGTTAGTTACTTAACTGTGCTGTCTTAGACTATTAAGCAACATTTAAATTTATTTGACTGCTATTACTTAATTTGCATTGGTACAAATGATGGTTATCTGTAGCATGTCCTGCTCTATTTTCTTAACAGTTTACTTCAATAAAATGCTTGTTTAAACCTTTCCAAGTCTCTTTTATACTATTTCAGACATACTTGTCTAGTACGACTGTAGGATTAAAAGTTCACATATGAGACCAAGTATGACTCTGAAGATTGGAATGTAAGTATCATATTCATTTAAGAAAACTAATATTAAAACTCCCAAAATTTAAGAAATGACTTTATGAACACAAATTTTTATCCAAATATGATAATATACTCACATAATTTTAAATATCTGTTTAATTACACAATTATACTAAATTTCTAGCTCCATTTAAAAATATTAACCTTGATTCATTGTCTCATTTAAAAAGTAAAACTTACAGCAAGGAATTTCCCAACTGAGACTTTACCATCAGGTTCTTTAAACATATCGAATAAAATGTCATCCACATTTTTTTCAGTGATAGCAGGACTTTCGCTATAAAAAAAAAAAAAAAAAAAAAAAAAAAAAAAAAGATCAAGGACACTTTTTATATATATATATATATATATAAACAAACAAAACTAAAGGCTTTTATAAAATTACACAAAACAATTAAAATATTACTTAAAAGTTATATATAATATATATATTCAGATATAATTTCATTTCAGTCCATACCAGTTGCTTCAACATTGTAAAAAAGGCCTTTTATTATAAGATTAAAATGCAGAGTACCTCCTCCCATAGCTTGCCAGTAACCAACAGTTTATTCAAAAACACTTTTCATTTTATTACTTTTTACTGTTCTTATAGACAAAAAAAGTATTTATGAATAAACTACTAATAACTATCAAACTAGGGTGACGAACTAAGGGGAAAATACAAAGGGAAAATGGTATGTGTTATAAACAAGCAGTGTAATCAAATGAAAGATAATTTCATGAATGTAAAATTTAAAACTATGCAAAAATGCAATGATTTTGATGAACCTCTATTAATTTTGAAGACAATTAGCTAGCAAAAAAATCTTTGCTCCTGAAGAAGGGGGAAACTGCATCTGATCACTCTTAAAACTGACAGAGTTTCATTCAAAATCTACATCAAACTGAAGCTGCATTCTCATATAGTCCATGAAAATAACTTTAAAATATTTAATGCTGTTAATGGCTTAATTTGAAACACAGAAAAAAAAAATCTTAGGGGTACAAGGCACACAGTAATACCAGTTGACAACAGAAATGTTCAAGGATATAAAAAACTCAATGACAGTTAATGGATTTTTGCCCACTTATGTTACAGACTAAACATGTAAAAGAAAGGGGAAAGAAAAAATAATAACTTCCTTAAGTGGTTAATAATGATCAACAATAAATGTTATTGAATATAACTTGAATTTAATTTGATAATATTAAAACAGGTATCATTCATTGAATTCATAAATAAATTAAAATGTGAATTACTCACAAAATATTAATAAACATCATAATGTATAAATGGTCAGATTACTGTCAGAGCGTACTTCAATGTTAGTTTCATTTAATAAAGATGAAGCATTCAATCATATTTAAATGTAAACAAAGCAAAAGACATACTATATTATGAAATAGAAAAACACTGCTGCTTAAAACACCAATTTTAACTATTTTTACATCTGTCATTAATATTTTAGTTATTCACAAGAAATTTACTTCAAGTACATTTTAAAATTCCAGCTCATTATTTAATTTTAAAAATGGCATTTTACGAATTAAGTAAAATTTAACTGTAAATCAAATCAAAGAATAAGAAGCATACTATAGTTTTTTAACTAAATATAATTATACATACAATCAAAAATTATATTATTATGATAAATGCAAATACTTCTCTTTTATAAATACTAGTCGGAAACAAAGTATCACAATTAAAAATATAAAATATTAATATGTTTGTAATAAAAAAAAAATTATAAAAGACTAAATAATCTACCTTACTCAAGACTTTGCAAGAAGACAGAGCTCGGCAAAATTCAATTATATAAGGAACATAGTAAATAAAAACAAATACGAGCGGAATATCGCTGCCCATTTTATTATTTGCAAGTGTGAGAAATTTGTATAGGTGATTATTGTGGTTTCTAAATTCTCACTGGGATAAAATACATTTTTGAAGCAACAACAAAAGTAAATTTCTACCTCAGACTAATTAAAATACATTTTTTGAAGCAATAACAAAAGTAAATTTCTACCTCAGACTAATATTGTTTCTTTGCTTCAACTTTGCATCCTTATTTGCTTGCAAAAATTCCTCCGCAGGCATGAATACACGATTGGTGTACGAGAAACACTGTTTAGTAATGTGGATACCACGGCACAAAAATAAATCATTATAAATATATGATTGGAAAACTGGTCTTGAATATTTCCGTCGTGAAATGCGTATGTAACCATTTTTCTTGAAATTGGTTTGGATACCATTAAGTATTCTTTTGACACCAAGAAACTGTAAACAACTCCGACAAGAGAGCATTAAAGAGCTTTTCTTTACCGAAATACGTCGCCGATTACTTTCCAAAATATTAAAAAAAAAACTGATATTATTGTAGAATTTCACAAAAATTTTAAGTAAAAAGTTATCTTATAACCTAGAAACAATATTTTAATGATTAACAGTAAATTGTTATATTTATTTTATTATTATGCCCAATTATTTCGCCGGGTCAGTAAAGTTCTCTTTCCTGCGTTACTTTAGAACGCCGCAAATAGAGTTGAAGTGTATAATGTAACCTCCTGCATTTTTCGAAAACGATTTTCTAAAATAAAAGAACTAATTTACTTAAAAACGGAATTAATTCTGACAAATAAGGAATTATTAAACAAAATTTAAGCTTAAAATTAATACGTCAAATCAATTAAATATTGGATAACCTGTCCATTACGGGTACAATAGCGCCACCACAATTGACTTCATCATGTCTAACAGATGCAATATTTCTGTAATCCCAGTCCTCTCTTCCGACCACAACATCATTGTATTTGAAATCCCCATTAATAAATACATTTATAACAGATATAAACAGTACGCCTTTATGGATCTTCAGTTGGTACAATATAACACAATGCAAATGAATTCTTACTATAAAATAAAAAGATTACCATATTAACATCAAATACAGTTTTTTTATTCACCAGCTCAGTCAAAAATCTCATCTTCTATATTTTAATAAACAAATCGAATTCTAAAGATAAAAACTATTGCTAAAAACGATAATAAAATAATATGCAAAGTAAACATTTATAATTATTAAAGTATTATGAGTACTAAAATATTGTGAGCTACTTTCAAACTAATTATTTATATTTTATGCCGTTACACTTTCCCCTCGCTTGACAGAAGTATAGGAATTACAAATTGGATCAAATACTCAAAAATTCTGAATAACTCCATACAAGGAAACCCATGCATCAACAGCAAAGAAGAATTAGAACAAGAAATCTCAAAATTTACTAACAGCATCAATTCTGCTTTAAGGGAAGCCACCAATACTTTTTACGTGAACAAGCCTTTCCTCCCCCCCCTATTTTCCGATGTGAGAAATAGTATTAAAGAGAAAAACCGGCTACGTAAAAGATGGCAAACCACCAGGGATCCACAACTCAAACTCGAATTAAACTCTTTGCAAAAAGAAATCAGCAGAAGAATCAAGAACTTCAAAAACCAAAAATGGACCAATTTCCTAAATCGCCTAGCTATAGAGGATAATTCCCTATTTGACATTTCCCGCAAATTCAAGAAACCTTATAAACCTATCCCACCTATCCATGGACCTAGTGGAATTTCATATACAGAAGAAGATGAAACTAAATCTTTTGCGGACTATATGGAAGATACATTCACTCTTAATCCCATTCCGTACGACAATAACCATATCCAACGGGTCAGCCTGGTGGTCAAGAACTTCCTTAAAACCCCTGCTCCGTACAACTTCATTTTCCTGACAATCGTAGCCAACACCATCAGCTCCTTACAGACGAAGAAAGCCCTAGGACACGATGGCATCTCGACCAAAGCACTGAAACATCTTCTGATCAACGCTTTTACCTGCCTAAGATAATCAAAAACATTATCAAATTCGCTCATTTTCCTAGCCCATGGAAGCAAGCTGTTATAATTGGTTTTGCTAAACCGCAGCAAAATACCACCTTCCCACAGAACTATCTCCATACCAGTTTACTAGGCCATCTTTCTAAAGTTACAGAGAAAATTCTACTTTTTCACATCCAAAGAATTCACCCTTCCATGAATTTTGTCCCAGAAGAACAGTTCGGTTTTCGCAATCATCATAGCACTTGCCACCAACTTGTTAGAGTTATCAACATTATCATTGAAGGCTACAACTGCAAGCTTCTGACCGGTGCTATGTTCCTCGATATCGCGAAAGTTTTTGACAGGGTATGGCATCGCGGCCTTACTTACAAATCAATCACTCTCAATTTTCCAGATCATTTTATTCGCTTAATAGCCTCTTTTCTCAGCAACAGAACATCCAGAATCAAAATTGGTACTGCTTACTCAACCACCAGAGTAATCAAAGCTGGTGTCCCACAGGGATCGGCACTTTCGCCATATTTTTTTAATATACATACGCAAGACATCCCTAAAGACGCTTCTCTTCATCTTGCACTCTTTGCCGATGACACTACCATACTTATACTAAAGCCTGCACAGCAATCGCCGTAAGAAACCAACTCCAAAACTATCTCATAAAACTGGAAAAATGGCTCACCTTTTGGAGGATTAAAATTAACATTGATAAAAACCAAGGCAATAATTTTCCGTAAGGGAAACATGAACTACTATTCTTCGCCCCTTGAAATATTTGACGAAGAAATAGACTGGATTAATGAAACCAAATACCTTGGAGTCATCCTAGATCAAAAACTTATCTTCAGAACCCACTTCCGCTCCGTAATACAAAAATTTTAAATCACCTCAACTACTATGAGACCTCTTTTTGGTAGAAGAAGCAACTTATCTACTACAAACGAATTAATTTTATATCGCTTCATACTTCGTCCAGCCCTCCTTTATGCAGCTCCGATCTGGGGACATGCAGCTAAAACCAATATTAAACACTCACAAGTACTACAAAATAAAATTTTACGAGAAATTATCAATGCTCCTTCTCCTTGGTATATTCCAAACACCTACATTCACAGAGACCTTCAAATCGAACTTATTCAAGTGTATATTAAACGATTAGCGGTCAACTTCTTTCATTCAGTACAAACCCACAGTAATAGCCTTATTAGCACTCTCAGACACTCCATGCACCCCGGTGAAAAACGTCGGTACCCAAGTGACTTCCTACCCACATAAGAATTACAACCTTAATTGACTCATTCACGCTAAATTGACTCTGCTGTCTTTCACCCGCTGCTACATCTTGTAACGACACTGACCTCCCCCCCATTCACCGCCGCTAGTGCGGACCTGACCCTCTTTCCCCCCTCCCACATCTCCTACTTCACTATTCTTCTCTCTTTTCTTTCCAGATAGTTATCAGAAGCCGAGTAAAAAGATGTTCCTACATCTTGACACTCGAGAACAAAATACGATCTGTGTGTGTGTGTGTATAACCTGCTGATATTTTCTCAGTTAAGCATCTTTTGGATAATGAATAAAGACAATTTAACCTTTGGCCCTGCTGAAATATGTCAATCATATTAATGAAAACTGATTTTTATCTTTGTATCACAAAGCAAAGCTGCCGCAATAAAATAAATAAATCTTTCTTCCAATAAAATATGCTTCAAAACAACATGATTACAAAGGCGCACAATTTTCTATTTTGAGTTAAAAAATAAAGTACAATAAGACGATTCCAAAGATAATTAATATATCCATGTTTCAAAATTTTAAAAGACTGTAATCTTTCATTAAAAATGTAAATAAGCACTGGCACGCCTATCAGTTTAAAGGGACAAATGTCTGGAGTGATTACAATAAAGTCATATTAGCTGGTAAAAGTATGCCGGTAAATGTTCTTTGCCCAGTCTTGTTTATTAGTTGTAAAAAGTGTGTTTCCGAGTTTCTCTGACAAAAAACTACTGTCAAAATGCATATCTTCTTAAAAATTCCTGGTCCTTTGAACTTGACATTGCTCGTTACACCTAAGTTGGTTGCCGATTATATCAGCTCCTTAAAAACCCCAAAAGCTCCAAGTGTTGCTGGTATATCTACCAAAGCTCTGAAACATCTTCCTATCAATGCTATCACATATCTGACTACTTTCCTAATGCATGGAAACATGCCATCATCGTCATGTTCCCAAAACAGCATCAAAATTCCAGTTTTCCACAGAACTACCATCCAATTAGCCTTGTCAGGCAACTTTCTAAAATAGTTGAAAAAATTGTTCTATATCATCTAAATCAAATTACTCTACAGAGCTCCTACATTCCAGAAAAACAGTATGGCTTTCATCATCTACATAGTACTAATCATCAGCTGCTTCGTGTCATCAACTATATCACTGACGGCTTCAATTGTAAATTCTCTTCCGGAGCCATATTTCTTGACATTGTGAAATCTTTTGATAGGGTATGGCCAGGACTTAGAAGAGAAGGGCTAGCTCATAGAGCCTTTTTCCTTGAAACAGGCAGTGGAAAGTGATGACGTAGTCATGATGACACTGAGCGCGGAGATGCAAATCAAAACACAGAAATTAGCGTTTTAAATTTGAAAAACCAGCGTTTAAAATGAGCTATGTGTGAAAGATAGCTATAATTCGGAAGAGACAATCTTACTGTAGTATGCATTTTACACTGACTATTAAAAAATCTAATAGTACTTACTCAATTTTAAAATAACAGATAAAATGCGCTACTCTTAGAGTAAAGTTCCTTTTTTTTTAATTTGCAGGATTGTTTTCCCTTTAAATGCCTGTTTATTTCTAATAATTTCTTTATCTGCATGTTAACTAAGAGACTCTACTACTGCTTCTAAGATAACTATAATAACAGCTATTTAAAATTAATAAAAAAGACAACCTTAAATTCGCATGGTTTTAAACATGTATAGATATATATATAGCAAAATTTCTGTTAATCTAAGTTTGAGTTCCAGCCTAATTGTAAATTTTACATTGGCATATTTTTCTCCCTATTCAATATAATAACATATTTTTAAAAAATATTTTTTTAACTTAGGCTTATGTCAATATTACATTTAAATAAATACAGGTAAGATTGTTACCTTAATTTAGACAAAATAACTTTACTCACAGTACCTAAAAAAATATTTAATTTTTTAGAAGTGGGGGTTAAGGAGGCAGGTCTTCTTATGCCAATTACTTTAATGTTATACTATTATATTTTAGAATGCTAAGCTAACACAATAATATCGAATCAATAATAACACAGGATACAATACAAATAACTTTAACAATAACTGAACAAAATCCAACTTCTCCGATCTGTGCTGTTTTTTCCTAAATTTCGCTATTTGGGATAATTTCTGAATTTCGGCGACAAATTTCTTTCTAGATGTCGTCCACCTTCTTTGTCGCTGAGCAAACATTCTAAAATATTTGAATATTTTATTACAATAAATATAATATAAATATATATATACAAATTATTTCTGATATTCACATTGTTAGAAAACAAATATATATGATTAAAATTAATTTGAGATATGTAACTTCCAGAAAAT